AGCATTGCATATGGTAATGTACCCAAAAGCGTTCAGGGAATATCTACAAATTCTCACCGGGTATACCTCTATCTCTCTCTCTCTATATATATATGCTTCATCAAAATTCTCCAGAATGCAATCATAGATTGACTAAAAAGTTTTATCGAGATAAACTAATTATCGAAAACTAACCCTAATTGAAATTTGTCGTGGCATCACTAGATTTAGTTTATATCCAGTTTTTCTTATATTGACATTTATTCTAGTTCAATTCCAAAATCGGACAAGTGCGAGTTACACTCGCACTGAAATCGAGGGTTCCGTACTCGAAGCGAACTTATTTGGTATAAAAACAAATGTTTAAAAAATATGTGTTGTATGACAACTAATATAAGTGATACAAAAAGGAACAATTTTGTAAAATTCAAGAAAATTGTTCCTCTTCGTATCACTTATATTAGTTGTCATACAACACATATTTTTTAAACATTTGTTTTTATACCAAATAAGTTCGCTTCGAGTACGGAACCCTCGATTTCAGTGCGAGTGTAACTCGCACTTGTCCGATTTTATTTTTTAAAAAATATTTTACTAAAAAAATATAAGAAACATAATTTTATTTCAACTCGCAATATATTTATTGTATTTACATTTTAAAAATATATTGAATATTAAATTTTATCTTTCTAAGTCAAAAAGAGATAAAACTTAAGATATTGATATAAGGCTAGTAGCTGCTTGTCAAGGAAAAATCGAAAATTATCTAAAAAATAAAATTTGTTTATTAATTCCAGAAAAATCAACTCCAATCATCCTCGCTATTTTTTTTTTGTAATCTACACGTAAAAATACGTCAAAATATATAAATTTGAATCACTGTAGAAAAACTTTTTTCGTTTTTTGCGGAAAAATACATTTTTTTCTGAAATTTATCATTTTTCTTCAAAAATTTGATAAAAATTGATCATCAACTCCAATCGCGCTTACATTTTTTCCCTGTATTTTTCACGCAAAAATTGAGTTTTACAGCAAGTATGAACAGTCTGGATTGAATATTGTGTGCGCTAGGGAGAATAAATCATTTTTTTCTAAATTTTTGATTTTTCCTTGACAACGCTATGTAAATTAATCCGAATCAAGTTCGCTATAATTTTCCTGTAATTTTCACGTAAAAATACGTAAGTGTGTCAAATTTGAGCTCTTTATGTCAAAAGATGTGGCCGCTAGGGGGGGGGGGGTACATACTCATTTTTAGGTATTTTTCGTAAAAATTCATGGTTTTTCCTTGACAACGCTATGATAATCAACTTCAATCATGCTCGCTATATTTTTTTTGTAATCTACACGTAAAAATACGTTAAAATATATAAATTTAATTTCCTTTAAATAAAATTTTGTTCGTTTTTGGTGGAAAAATACATTTTTTCCCTAAAATTGTCATTTTTTCTTGAAAAACTTGATAAAAAGTTAATCATCAACTCTAATCGTGACCGCTTTTTTTCCCCTGTATTTTTCCCGTAAAAATACATTTGTATACTAAATATGATCTGTCTGGGTTGAATATTGTGTGCGCTAGGGAGAATAAATTATTTTTTTCGAAATTTTTGATTTTTCCTTGACAACGCTATGTAAATTGATCCGAATCAAGTTCGCTATAATTTTCCTGTAATTTTCACGTAAAAATACGTAAGTGTGTCAAATTTGAGCTCTTTATGTCAAAAGATGTGGCCGCTAGGGGGGGGGGTACATAGTCATTTTTAGGCATTTTTCGTAAAAATTCATGGTTTTTCCTTGACAACGCTATGTTAATCAATTCCAATCAAGTTCGCTATAATTTTCCTGTAATCTACCCGCGAAAATACATATGTGTACTAATTTTCAGCCCTCCAGATAAATTTATGTGGCCGCTAGGGGGGGGGGGTACACGATTTCAAAAAAACCGATATTAATAGGGTTCCGAACCGAGTACGGAACCCTAAAAATTATTATAAAGTTACTAGATAGTCTTCTTGGAAAAATTTTTAATAAAATTTAAATTAAATAATATAAAATTAAAACATTTAATTTTTATACCTATATATAATTTTTGTATATAAAATACATAAATTTCAATAAAATCCATTATTATGAAACTTTTTATAATATTTTAATTTTTTTGGAAACTTTTGTGAATAATTCGTAACAAAAAAAAACAGCTGAGTACACTGATAAAATAGGTAGCAACTTTACCGAAGTCATAGCGAGCGCCATCTATTGGTTTTTAAAAGAAACACAATTCGCTTCCTACGGCTGAGTGTCGTCTGCTATTGTTGAATTTCAATAAGTACAGTTTTTATGTTTATAAAATCTGACTACTGCAGCCGAATCGCAATTTTCGTTAAAATTACGTTTATGCTTTAAAAATTAGTATTAATTACAGTTTAATATAATAATATTAAATTTTTGCAGAAATCGCCTGACTTTGCCCTATTTAAAGTAAGGCATTGGTAAGGGCCTTATCAGTTTTCCCTGTTTGAGTAAAATGTAAAAAAATTAAATTTTTAAAGTTTTCCCTTCATTAAAGTGTTGTTAACAGTAAAATAAAATCGTTTTACAATAATTTTAGATATCTTTTTAATTTAGTGTTTTGAACAGAATTCCCGACCAAAACCCCAACTAGGGTATTCCATATATGGCCCTGTCAAGGGCATTTTCAGTTTTCCTGGTTTAAAAAAAATCAAACTAATTAAGTATTTAAAGTTAACATTTTGCAACAATGTTATTGTAAATTAGTTAAATGATTTCGATTTTAAATAATAATTTATTTCTTATTATTAATTTTTCTTATGGGTTCCTGTTAAATTCCCTAACCATAAGTATGGAACTCTCCATAGTTACCACGGTATTAACATATTTTTCAGAACGATGGCGCAAAAAAAAAAATTTTTACGTAAAGTTTGAGAAGTATTAATTAAAAGAAGATAATAACTATTAAAAGTAGCAAATTACATTGGATAAAAGAATAATTTATAATTTTTTTTAATTTACATTTGATAGTAAAATTAACTGGATAGTGACAAGAATGTCCTCAAATATCATGCAAGTTATCCTAGCGTGCGTGTACGTGGTTAAGGCCAGGTCCAAGTGAGGCAGCGCCATCTACATTGATATTAAAATTTTGGAAAATTTTCAACAGCCTTTTCTTGAAAACAAAATGGTAAAATGCTTTTTCCTTTATGGATAATTGATTATTGGCAAGATATACACCAGCTAAAACTTTTTTTGAGTTAAAATAATAAAAAAAACTTCATGTCAATAAATTAAATATGAGCACTTTTTTCCCAAAAACTGTAACAGTACTTTCTCAGAAATTACAATCAAAAATGCAATTTCCATTTGGAAAATTAATAAACGCTAAAAAATACACGACCTAAGATTTACCAATCACGAAAATAACAAAAAAAAATTTTATTAAATATTTAACATATTGATACTGCTTTACTGATTGTGACAGCCCTTTGGTAGATTATGTATTTCAGGTGGTTAGCAACAGCGCCAATCTCCTCCTTTCGGCAAAACTGCGAAACGTCTGGTGACATATATAACCTGTCAAACGGCTGTCACAATGAGTAAAATATGTTATGTTAAAATACTTTTTTTTTGTTATTTTCGTGATTGGTAAATCTTAGGTCGTGTATTTTTTAGCGTTTATTAATTTTCCAAATGGAAATTGCATTTTTTATTGTAATTTCTGAGAAAGTACTGTTACAGTTTTTGTGAAAAAAGTGCTCATATTTAATTTATTGACATGAAATTTTTTTTATTATTTTAACTCAAAAAAAGTTTTAGCTGGTGTATATCTTGCCAATAATCAATTATCCATAAAGGAAAAAGCATTTTACCATCTTGTTTTCAAGAAAAGGCTGTTGAAAATTTTCCAAAATTTTAATATCAATGTAGATGGCGCTGCCTCACTTGGACCTGGCCTTAAATGGTTAAATTGTCGGCTTGCGAATGTTAGGGTCGTGCGTTCAATCCCCAGCGTTTCGGGATTTTTCTCTGTTAGGTATATAAATTTATATAATTTAAGCATGTACAAACGAAACTAGTAGGGGAGAGGATGAAAAAATGGATCTCAATACTAATACTTATAATAATAAATTTACTACTTTGAATATAGTTTTTCTTACTAAATTTTACAGTTAATCTTACAATTTTTACATAGTTGTTTCAACTATTGTTTGTTATAGACGCCCCCTGGAACTAGGAGAAATGTAGTCAATGTCAATTAAATGTAGTCAAATTTACCATGAATTTTTTTGAGTTTATATAATATAAAAAAATAGGGTATGCGTATGGAAAACTGGTAAGGCCCTCACTAGTGAGGCTCTCATCAGTTTTCCCGACAAGGCCCTTATTAGAGATCGGGAAAACTGGTAAGTACCTCATGAGGCCCACATCACGATTTCTGCACGGGTTGTTGTGTTAATAATGGAGTCAAGGGAGGGATATTATTTTTTTTTCGTCTTTTAACATGTATAGAAATTATTTTAATTAAAATAATAATAAACATAAAAAAATTTCAAATTTATAAATGAAGTGACATTGGCAATAATTAAAAATTTTTGTCCAAACGAAAATTTGCTGTCAAATTAAAATTTTCTTAACCAAAAATTAGTTTATATGAAAATTCTCATGATTATGGTACAATCTATAAATGAATTTCAGTATATATATATATATATATATATATGTATATAATTAAAACTTGGACAATATTATCGTGCCTTAATTTGTAAAGTTTCAAAAAGTATACAATTTTCCTAATTCAATGAAACGCGCAAGCTTATTATGGATTCAAATATTATCAAATTTAGATCGCATATCTTATGTGATTATATTAAAAGACTTTATAATGAAGTTGCGGTGGTTTTAAGTGAAAGACAAATTTTCGATTAACCAAGTCACGTTTTCTAATATGAATATCGTCCGTAGCTAGTTTCCATATTAATTAAATATATATGCATTTTGCTGCTTACCTTTAACGGCGTTAAGTTTGTTTCCGACCATCTGCTTCGCCACGAAAGCCGCCATCTTGATGCCTTTTAGTACTGCCTAGGGTTTGATTCCTCGGTACTCTGGAAAAATAAAAATAACATTTATTAGAAATTGGCATAGTTTTTTTTTTGGAGAAAACAATAAATATTTTATTTATAACAATACAAAAATTCAAAACCACCTTTTTATACTAAAGTACTATAATTAATAATAATAATAATAATAAATTTATCCGTACTAAAAATAATAATAATAAATAAATTTCTCGTGCTTTTTTAACCTCAAACTCAACGATTTTGCTACAATGTATCGCGTTTGCGTAACTGCTATGAAAAAATTCATAATTTTTAATTAAAAAATAAGTCAAAACAACAGTTGTTATTCGATGTCGTAATATTTAAACTTACAAAAAATATTATATATATATTGATGTATAAAACGGCTGTACGTCTTATTTTTTTGGTTTAATTGTGAAACACTAACAAGGACTATAGCACTAACAAGCACTGGCTGTATCACAATTATTAAAAATTAACACTAATAATTGCACCACCAATAAAGCACTATTTATATGAAAGCGTGTCGCTCAGTAGAAAGATGAATTTGAACTGATTTGAACTAGTAAGTAGATACTTGTGATATAGGGTGCGAGGCAAGAAGAAAGGGAAAAAGAGAGGGAGAGAAAAAAAAACTACATGGAAAAATAAGGGTCTATAGAATCGTACACCCAGAAAAATGTTTTTCTGAATCAGAGAACTATTTCATTAATATAGGGTCAAAGAAATGTTTTCTTTAATTTGAAAAAAAATTTATTTCCTTTACAGCAAATTTATTTGAAAAGGAAATTTATTAAAAAAAAAAATTTATTTGATTTAAAGAAAATTTTTTTATTCTAAATAATTATTTGAATGAAATTAATAAAGTATTTTTTGAAGTTGAATAAAATTTTTTTAAATCAAATAAATTTTCTTTAAATTAAAGAAAACTTTTTTTTTGACCCTCTATATCAAAGAAACAGTAAAATTAGTAAAAATTTCAAAGAAAAATTAATAAACCTTATTTATTTTATTATTTTTCATATATCTTTATCGAATAATTTCCGTCTTCAATTTGGAAATAATTTTCTAAAAAAAAAATCTTACGAAACAGCGTGGAAACCTTACAAAACCGATAACATTTTTTTTGTCGCTGAAAATTGAATGATAAAATGTAAACTTGGAAGTGTTTTTTTAAAAATTGAATCCATTTGGAAAAGAAAGTTAAACAAAAAAAAAAAAAAAAAAATAAGTATAAGAAAACATTTTCGTGAGTAAGGGATTTTTTTTATTGACACTTCCAAAAAAAAAGTATCCAATAAAATAGAGTTACTGAAAAACAGGAAGTTCGCAAATATTGTGATGGAGTATAGTGTAGTAGCGCGCACCTACATATACGCCGTAAAGTTGAAAACCATAAACAAGCTTCTCACAAATTTCTATGGTCGCGGGACGAACGGAATAAACGTCAACCTACAAACGAGTAGTTATACACACAGAAAAAAGGGGAGAGAATAAACATTTTTTTTCTATATATAGTATTATATTCGCAGTATAGAAGTGAAATATGTCATACAGTAGGGGTGAAAAAGTATAGCATCTTTGATCCACACCTCTTCGGGAAAGCATTTTAATCTCATTACACTACTTTCTGCCAAGTGACATTTATGACTTTATAAATATATATGGGCAAATCCACGAAACTTTTAACTTTTGTGATTCTGGAATCGAACGCTTAAAAATCTGAATTATTTTTAATTAAAACTTACAGTAATAGAACAAAATATTTATTTGACAATTAGTTTTGGGTCAATCCATTATATTTCGAATGAAGTCGTCGCTGACTAATTTTTAAAAATTATAATACTTTGCAGGAATGATTTTGAAGTTATCAAGATCACGAAATGAAAAGAATTTTATTAAAATTTTAATTATTTATTGCAAAATATGAATTTAAAGTTTATGAGGTGCTGAAAACTGTCAATTTTTTAGCCATTAGAAAATATGCAAAAATACGTAGAATTTACCATAAAAATAAAAAAATTGTTGTAATTTACTAAGAATGAATAAATTTATCATTATCAAGTGATATAATTATTTAAACATGTGTAATAATATATAAAATATGATTTTCAAGTTCGCCTGTCAAATAACCTAAATTTGCAAATTTCATCTATTAAATGTGAGAAAGAGAAGTCATTAAATTGAAAAAAACCTTACCAAATATAAAGTACCTGTGACTAACTTTTAGTTTTTCTTAGCACTTTTTTCCTTTTTTCTTCATAAATGTGAAATAAACAGCAATAAAAATTGGCACTTTGCTTATTTTCACTATTTTCAAATGCAAATAACTTTCTTGGAGAAAACTGAAAAATTACAAAACTTGGGCAATATCTAATTGATCACTAAATACACACACTGGAAAAAAATTCGCTTTGGTCCCGAAGATACTTTTTGAGATAATTAAGTTTAAACTTTTCACAATTTTTATCAGGTTAATACATGTAGTTTTTTAAGGACGAAGTTAGGTTTTATTGGTTAAACATTTTGAACTAACTTCAATTTTATAAAAATCACATGCATTAACCTGATAAAAATTGTGAAAAATTTAAACTTAATTATCTTAAAAAGTATCTTCGGGACCAAAGCGAATTTTTTTTCAGTGTGTGTATTTAGTGATCAATTAGATATTGCCCAAGTTTTGTAATTTTTCAGTTTTCTCCAAGAAAGTTATTTACATTTGAAAATAGTGAAAATAAGCAAAGTGCCAATCTTTATTGCTTTTTATTTCACATTTATGAAGAAAAAAGGAAAAAAGTGCTAAGAAAAACTAAAAGTTAGTCACAGGTACTTTATATTTGGTAAGGTTTTTTTCAATTTAATGACTTCTCTTTCTCACATTTAATAGATGAAATTTGCAAATTTAGGTTATTTGACAGGCGAAATTGAAAATCATATTTTATATATTATTTCACATATTTAAATAATTACATCAATTGATAATGATAAATTTATTCATTCTTAGTAAATTACAAAAAAAAATTTTTATTTTTATGGTAAATTCTACGTATTTTTGCATATTTTCTAATGGCTAAAAAATTGACAGTTTTCAGCACCTCATATACTTTAAATTCATATTTTGCAATAAATAATTAAAATTTTAATAAAATTCTTTTCATTTCGTGATCTTGATAACTTCAAAATCATTCCTGCAAAGTATTATAATTTTTAAAAATTAGTCAGCGACGACTTCAGTCGAAATATAATGGATTGACCCTTTTATAAGTTAAAAAGTGAAAAAATGCTTAAATTTCATTTTAATTTCTTGAAAAAGTTTATATTCTTAACGTTTTTATTTTTTCGGCGTGTAAAATATCACTTCAGCTATACTATGGAAATATCTAACAGGCATATTTTGTCAAAAAATTTTCACTATCCCATTAGTGTGCCACCACTAAAACTAAAAATACGAAGGTTTGATTGAGTGATATAGCACTTTTTAAAAAAATTCAATTGAACGTCTTCTTATGAAAATATCTATTACGGCGTTGGATAAAAATAAAAGTTCAATGCATTTCTTAAGAGCATTTGAACCTTCGTGACGTCACAAATCATGGCGCATGACACGCAAACTTCTCAGGTATGTGAAAAGCACAATTTTGAATATTTTTTAAAAAAACCTTTTGGAAAATGTTCAGAATAACATAGACTCTGTCTGTTATGTGCGGAAAATTCAAAATTTTGCGTATAAAACGTTTTTTAAACAATGTTTAAGTTGGTTGTCACAAGTAAGGAAAAATACACGAATTGCTTATGTGTAGGCATTGTTTAAAAAACGTTTTAAACGCAAAATTTTGAATTTTTCGCACATAACAGACATAGTCTATGTTTCTCTGAACATTTTCCAAAAGGTTTTTTTAAAAAATATTCAAAATTGTGTTTTTCACATACCTGAGAAGTTTGCGTGTCATGCGCCATGATTTGTGACCTTAACATTGTTTAAAAAACGTTTTAAACGCAAAATTTTGAATTTTCCGCACATAACAGACAGAGTCTATGTTATTCTGAACATTTTCCAAAAGGTTTTTTTAAAAAATATTCAAAATTGTGCTTTTCACATACCTGAGAAGTTTGCGTGTCATGCGCCATGATTTGTGACGTCACGAAGGTTCAAATGCTCTTAAAAGGTGATGAAAAAACAAAAATTTTAAGATCTTTTTCAATGATGTGCCTCTAATTGTATTCCTGTGGCAACAATTTAAAGATGATAATAAAAATCGTGATTTAATTTAAATTTATACATTTTTGAAAGGCACAACTGCATTTTTGCTTTAAACAGGTCAATCTATGGTGTGATCGAAACATTTTCATACATATATTTGAACACAAAAACGCCGCTTAAGAATTTTGAGTGAAATAAATTTTATTAAGTTAAGAATATGCTGAAAACACTTTTTTGGAGTCTTTACCCCCTCTTTTCTCAAAATCCTGACGTGCTAAGCAAATTTGGGTGCCAGAATCGTGTTCAGGTAACGAAAATACTTTAGAAACAACTCCGATATCAAAAATAAAAAAAGTTGAATTTTTCAATTTTATATGTAATTTATTAACATTAAAGAGTTTAAAGAGTTAAACATTGATGGCGTGAGCTAAAAATGAATCACGCATATAAATTTGTAGTGCTAAAATGTACTTATAAACGTATATACAAAGTGACATCAATGTGCCTGCAAATTAAAAAAAGAAATTTTTTTTTCTTGAAAGTTAAAAGTTTCGTGGATTTGCCCATATATATAATAATCTTCAGAAAAGAAGAAAAGCTTTGTCTTAATAGCACGATAGTCCGGAATAGATGGACATACTTTTTTTAAATGTCCGTAAAAATAAAACGGAAGCAGTTTATGTATTAATTTTTATTGCTAATTAAACAGTGAACATTATATTTTGAAATAATAAAAAAATATTAAAAATATTCCAATGATAACAATTTGAAAATTAATGTTTCTTAAAAAACTACAATTGGCCATCTTTCCCGAAATGTACAG